GAGGGCTTTGAGCTGGACTCCCAAGGAGCATTTTGTGTGGGTGAGAGCCCCCCACCCTGGCATGGACGTGGGAGGCCTCTCAGCCTGGGATGGATGGCCTCTCCTAGCCAGCTAGCAGGAGGCTGGGAGCAGAGACCACCAGATCCTTTCCTGCCCCAGACAGGGACGAGTGCTCAGGAGGCCCCAGCCCCTGCTCCCACACCTGCCTTAACGCACCCGGCCGCTTCTCCTGTGCCTGCCCGGCTGGCTTTGCCCTGGCCTGGGATGACAGGAACTGCAGAGGTGAGGGAGCCCCTGGGAGGAGAGGTCCTCCTCAGACATGACCCAGGTGTGTGGAAGGGTCCCCAGGGCCAGGACCCTGGCTGGACACAGACCTGCAGGGATGGCCCATTCTCGAGGGCATTTGATGTCAGCGTGGAGGTCCCAATGCCATGTCCCCACCAGGCTCCTTCCTGCTATGGGAGCTGCAGACGAGTGAGGCCCAGGTTTCAGGGGGTGATGGGCAGCCCAAGAGACATAGGGGCGGTTATCACATGCTCACAGCCTTGTGAACCTGAACAGGCCTCGGAAGCTTTCCCAACACTCAGCATCATTTCCAATTGACTGAGACTGGCAAGTGAGTCGTACTCCTCAGCAATGTTGCTGGATGACAAATCTGACCTTGGGTGGTGGTGCTGATGCTGACCCCCAATCTGTATCTCTGCACTCCCACCAGGAGGGTCTGGTGCCGGCAAGTCTCCACTGGGCTCCAAGCCAGGTGCCCAAGGGGACGTTGTCTGCAGCCTTTCATTAGAAGCTGCAGGCCCAAGCGCTCGGGTCCCTTGGAGTGGGCCCTGTGTTTTGGGGTAGGGAGCAGGACAGTGGAAAGAGCTAGCAGAAGGGGTGGGGCCCTTCCTGCCAGTGGCTCCTGGGCCTGCAGACGAAGCCTCTGTGGATAGGCTGGGCCAGGGTCAGGTGGCGAGGCAGGCCTGGGGATCGTGTTCACACAGCCGTCTGCCCTGATCTGCCCCCAGATGTGGACGAGTGTGCGGGGGATGCTCGCCTCTGCCGAGAGGGACAGCGCTGTGTGAACCTGCTCGGGTCCTACCGCTGCCTCCCCGACTGTGGGCCTGGCTTCCGGGTGGCTGCTGACGGAGCCAGCTGTGAAGGTGATGGGGACACAGTGTGCGGCCTGTCCATACTCCTGGAAACCCAGAGGTTGCCAGGGATCAGCTGATAGGGGGCTGTGTGTCACTGGGCTCTGGGCTGCCAGAAAGACCGGAACTCTTGACAGAAGGAGCACAGCAAGGCTGGGGATGAAGCCTGAGCCGGGCGCTGGAGGTCGGAGCCCTCCCCTGGCTCCTGGCAGCTGGCACCTTCTTTGACAGGGGTGTTTTCTTTCTGGACCTCAGCGTCTTGTCTGCTTGATAAAGAGGCAGCCGGGTCAGGGATGGCAAACACGCCCTCCCTCTGCTGCCGTCCGTTCTGTTCCCCGCATGAATCCAGGCCCAGCTAGAGACCACCTCTGAATCCTTCTTGAGCCAGCAGCCCCTGCAGCCACCATGGAGCAGGTGCAGTCAGCCTTCGAGACAAAACCTAGGTGCCACCCCTGGACAGGTGACCTCAATGGTCCTTCCTGTTCTAGCTCTATGGCTGCAGGACCGTGGGTCCACCCGGCTCCTCTGAGAGACTGTCTGGTGGGGAGGGAAGCACGGTGGAGCCTGACTCAAGAGGAGCAGCTGTCGCACCTCTGTGGTCCCCAGGGCCCCTAGACTGCCCGACAACTCACCGGGCTCTCCTGCCTGCCGCCTTTCCTGCCGCCTTTCCTCCTTTCTCACCACTTTCTTAGCTCTTCCCACATGCCAGGCTCCCCTCCTCACCATGACCCCATGAAGAGGTCACATCTCTACCCGCTTTATGGATGAGGAAACTGAGGCTCAGAGAGAGAGAGAGTTCCTTACCCAAGGGCTAGAGTATGGCAGAGCTCAGCGGAACCCAGGACTCTGCCCGCAAAGCCCACCCTTTCAGCCCCTTCCTTTCTTTGGGACCTGGAACCCTGTTGACCTCCAACCTGGTATAACTGGGGGAGGTGCTGCAAGGGCTGCCATGCAACCTGGTGGCACTGAAACTGGAGAAGGGGACAGGGAGGAGGCCCAGATATGGAGGGGGATGGTCTGTCCCTTGGGGGAGGGGCTCTGGGCTAGACCTCGCCCCCTGACCATGGCCCTGCCTCCCAGATGTGGACGAATGCCTGGAGGGGTTGGACGACTGTCACTACAACCAGCTCTGCGAGAACACCCCAGGCGGTCACCGCTGCAGCTGCCCCAGGGGCTACCGGATGCAGGGCCCCAGCCTGCCCTGCCTAGGTACGGGGAGACCCACCCTCTGGCCAGCACCCCCAGCTCAGGGACTGAGGGTGTCTAAGGCACCAGTGCTGGTGAGTCCTGAGAATAACCAAACAGCACCGACACATCGCCTCACTGTGTGCCTGCCGGTGCACCAAAACCTCAGCCTGACCCTAAGGGGTCATCTTCTGGGGAATTTCAGGAGGGGAAGGACTGTTCTCCAAAACCTCAGCCTGATCCTATGGGGTCATCTTCCGGGGAATTTCAGGAGGGGGAGGACTGTGGAAGCAAGTGGGTGTATCTCAGAGAGGCTTAGGAGAGGGAATGGATCTAACTGGGGCACCGAAGGGCTGAGGGGGAGCTGGAGTCTGGGATGATGCTGAGAGCTGGGGAGGCTGGGCCTCTGGGAGCTGTAGGTGGAATCAGATTGGAGGCTGGGGCTGGTCCCGGAGAGGGGGATGCAGTGTGGCCCGCACGCAGCGTGGGAGTGGTGGGATTCTAGGGAGTGCCAGCAAGAGAAGGCAGGGCCAGGCAATGGCTGCAGGCTGCAGGGGACCCTGGGCCACCTGTGCACATGCCTGACCCTGCCCCTCTACAGATGTCAATGAGTGCTTGCAGCTGCCCAAGGCCTGCGCCTACCAGTGCCACAACCTCCAGGGCAGCTACCGCTGCCTGTGCCCCCCAGGCCAGACCCTCCTTCGCGACGGCAAGGCCTGCACCTCACTGGAGCGGAATGGACAAAATGTGACCGCTGTCAGCCACCGAGGCCTTCTAGTGCCCTGGCTGCGGCCCCGGGCCTCGATCCCTGGTGGCTCCTACCACGCCTGGGTCTCTCTCCGGCCGGGTCCCGTGGCCCTGAGCAGTGTGGGCCGGGCCTGGTGCCCTCCTGGTTTCATCAGGCAGAACGGAGTCTGCACAGGTAAGGCCAGGCCCTGACCATCCACGGGACACTGCCATTATGGGCTCTAGGGCCCCTGGGGTGGGTGTGCAGGTGCCACCCATGGAGTCCAGAAACCCAGACCTTCCAGGCAAGTGGGGTGGGTGGTGTGGGATGGTGGCTTCTCTGATGCAGGGTGTCTCAGAGCCTTGGCTGTGCCACTGGGCAGGGGGCTTCCAAGATGGGAGTGGACTATTTTTGACTTCAGGACACTTTGCCCAGAAGAAGGGCATCCTAGGCAAGTGGTCCTGGGAACCCTCTTTGAGAAACACTCCTGTTAGCACTCAGAGGGAAAGCCGTCAGGCAGGGGGATTTTCAGGGGTGAAGGAGAATGTTCCAGGTAGACATGAGAATGTGACAAGGGACTGCTGAGTAGAGGGGGCGAGGTGGGGGATGGCCCCTGGACCGTGCAGAGAGGGACAAAGAGGAGGTGGCCTGCCCCTGGGCTGACGCCTTGGCATTCCTGCCTGGATGGAGGGGTCTGTGGGGCGGTGCTGCCTGCTCCCTCTATGCCTTGGCGAGCATGGGGTAGGTAAGGTGGGGATCCTCCCTCTCACCAAGCCCACGGACTCCCCCAGCCCCTGAACCCGGGCTGGGAGGGGCAGGACAGGGAGAAGGAGCAGGGCAGCTCCAGAGCCCAGTGGGCAGGTGTGTGGCCATGTCAGTGTCTGTGGTTCAGTGCATCTCTCTGCCCCCGTCCCCCACCTGCCCCGCCCCCATGCCCGGGTCAGACCTCGACGAGTGCCGGGTGAGGAACCTGTGTCAGCACGCCTGCCGCAACACTGAGGGCAGCTACCAGTGCCTGTGCCCCGCCGGCTACCGCCTGCTCCCCAGCGGGAAGAACTGCCAGGGTGAGCCGGGCTCAGGCTGCCGCCCAGACACCCATGGGGCTAGGGCAGGCAGCGTGGGATGGGACATGTGGCATCTCAGCCACTCCGTTCACTCCAGCCCCTTCACAACTATCCTGTGAGGGTGGGGCGGGGAGGCAGGCTCAGAGGGGTTCCGTGAACACCCCAGGCTCTCACAGCCATGCCAGGGCCCATGCTCCGAACAGAAGCTCTGAGATTACGCGGGCAGGCTCTGAAAGCAAACCAATCCCAACTCTGCTGTGTGTCCCTAGGAAACTCACTTCACCTCTCTGAGCCTCCTGGTTAAATGGGGCTAACACAGTCCCCCTCAAATAGCTGGGATGAGAGCTGTGGAGGCCAAGCACAGAGCCGCACAGCTGCTGCTGCTGGTAGAGTCAGGGCCTCTAACCCCCAAACCGGGCACAGTTTCCCCGGTGTGCACAAACGGGGCCGGGGCCAGTCATGCTGCTTCCTCCAAGAGAACAGGAACCATGCCTGCCCTGCCTGTCTCCGTCCCTCACGCTGCCATGGAGGTCACCGAACATCCTCAGAGAAGGGTGGGGGTTCCACTGAGGCAGACAGGATCAGGGGCTCTGCCCGTGGGCAGTGGGCACTCAAGGTCTTCGGGCAAAGCAGCCACCCAGGGAAAGCCGTATCTCTCCCAGGCCCTCCCACCCAGCACTTGCTCAGGAGGCCCCCATGGTGCCCACCTACACACCCTGGAAAGCCCCAGCCCCCGGGGAGATGAGAAGGTGCTGGGGGCCTCCAGGCTGGGTGGTCACGGGTCAGACTGACTGGGGACAAAGGGAGAAGGGCTGCTCACCTCACTGGTCCCCCAAAGGTACTTCTCCCCACACACTCCCCCCTCTCCTTTGCTCCATCTTTTCATCTCCCTCCCCCACTTCACCAACCTCCCCCATCCAGATATCAACGAGTGCGAAGAGGAGGACATCGAGTGTGGACCTGGCCAGATGTGCTTCAACACCCGCGGCAGCTACCAGTGTGTGGACACACCCTGTCCTGCCACCTACCGGCAGGGCCCCAGCCCTGGGTAAGGGCTGAGTTGGCAGGGCCTTGTGCCCTCAGGAAAAGCACATTTTTCAGTCACTCCAGGTTCAGGCTGGCCCTGTCACTGTCACTCCCCAAACAAGTGATACAGGCAGGAGCGCAGGGAGCCCTGGGGACAGGGAGAGGCCAGAGTGGGAACACGGGGACACAGGAGCACACACACCAAACCCCAGACACAGGAACACCATGCAGACTCACAACCCCAGGACAAAACTCAGACACGCGAGCACCAAACCCATCTCCTCCACGCCACTCACAGCGGCCACAGACACTTACCACGACGCACGGAGACATGGGGACCTTAGGGGTGACAGCACTGCCCTGGAAAGGTTTCTCGCGGCGGGTGACCTGCCCCGGGCCTTACAACTAGAAACCTAGGCTGGGGTTGGAAGCGGATGCCCCAGGCAAGGCTAAGCTCAGTCTCCACCTCTAATCCCACCCTGGCAGGGCAAATCCAGACTAGGTGACTCGGCCCAGGAACACATCAGTTCCCCTGTGTCTGCTGGGCTTCCCTAGGGCATGGACCTGGAAAGTCTGCTGGAGGGACCCCGAAAGGGCACGCCTCTGGCTTCTCTGGGCCTCAGTTTGTTGATCTCTAAAACGGGCTAGCGGGGATGCCCGCAGAGAAGGCCTGTGGGGCTCTGCCGCAGAAGGACGGGCAGCGCGTGGGCGGAACTGCAGGGGCTGGCAGGGAGGTCTGATTACGCAGCTGGGCCACGCTCAGACCCACCCCCGAGTCCGCCTGTCCGTGTGTCTGTCTGTGCCGCCCGCAGGACGTGCTTCCGGCGCTGCTCGCAGGACTGCGACACCGGCGGCCCCTCCACGCTGCAGTACCGGCTGCTGCCGCTGCCCCTGGGCGTTCGCGCCCACCACGACGTGGCCCGCCTTGCCGCCTTCTCCGAGGCCGGCGTCCCAGCCAACCGCACCGAGCTCAGCGTGCTGGAGCCGGACCCGCGCAGCCCCTTCGCGCTGCGCCCGCTGCGCGCGGGTCTCGGCGCGGTCTACACCCGTCGCGCGCTCACCCGCTCTGGCCTCTACCGGCTCACCGTGCGCGCCGCGGCGCCACGCCACCAAAGCGTCTTCGTCCTGCTCATCGCCGTGTCCCCCTACCCCTACTAAACGGGAGAGGGCATTGGCGGCTGCCCCGGTGTGACCCCCGAGGAAGGGGGCCAGGAGGAGCTTGGTCCACGCCACCTGCTGTGGCAAGCGGAGCGTCATCGTCTCTCGCCCCGTGCGTCAGCGAGACCTTGGGTCAACACGACCCTGCGCGCAGCCTTGACCCCCGACAGCGAGGACCTGAGCTCACAGAGGGAGGCGTCCGGGGCGGTCCTTGGGTGGCCAGGCCCGCAGGCAGGGCCCGGGGAAGCCTCCAGGTCTGATCCGCCCCTCAGTGGGAGCGGGACAGGGACACAGGGCACCTGGACGCCCGGGGGAGGAGGCAGACTCCGCGTTGGGGGTGGCAGCAGCTATCTGGCGGTGTCATTCTGAACCCTGTTGCAATATAAAAAGATTGCTTTTTTAACTAACTTGGTTTCTTTGTCTAATTATTTTGCTTTGTAGGGAAGGGTTTTGACTGGGAAGGAGACCACGCCTTCTGTTCTGATCCAAGAGCACTGCAGTTTGAGTCCACCAGCCTCCTCTCCTTAGGAGTAGGGTTGCCTCAGGCACCTCCTGGCCTCAGTTTCCTAATCCATAAAATATTGCAATAGGGCCCTCCCTTCCCCCACAGGGCTGTGGGGGCGATTAAATGAGGAGTAAATGTGTTGCATAGACAGCAACAGCCGGTGGCAAAAAAAATTTTACTTTTTAGAGGCAGGGTCTTGTCCCTTCGCCCAAGCTGGAATTGCAAATGACATGATCGTGGCTCGCTGCAGCCTCGACCTCCTGGCCTTGCCATCCTCCTGCCTCAGCCTCCAGAGCAGCTGAAACTACAGGCACATGATACCATGCCTGGCCTTTATATTAATTCTTCATGTTTTGTATATGGGTAAGTCATACAACATGACGCTTTGATATGCATAATGAAATGGTTACTATAGTCAAACCAATTAACATAGCCATTAGGGATTTTGGGTGGGCTTGAAAAAAATAAAATTAAAACATACCCATCATCTCGTATATACTTATTTTTGTGGCAAGAACACCTAAAATCTACTCCCTTAGGAAAATCCCAGTGTGATATGATCATTATTTTGAGACAGGATCTCGCTCTGTCACCCAGGCTGGAGTGCAGTGGCGTGATCTCTGCTCACCTCAATCTCTGCCTCCTGGGCTCAAGCAATCCTCTCACCTCAACCTCCTGAGTAGCTGGGACCACAGGCATGCACCACCACACCTGGCTCTTTTTTTTTTT